TTTGATGGTTAATAGAAAACCCAACAAAGTTTGATGGTTAATAGAAAACCCAACAATGTTTGATGGTTAATAGAAAACCCAACAATATTTGATGGTTAATAGAAAACCCAACAATGTTTGATGGTTAATATAAAACCCAACAATATTTGATGGTTAATATAAAACCCAACAATGTTTGATGATTAATAGAAAACCCAACAAAGTTTGATGGTTAATAGAAAACCCAACAATGTTTGATGATTAATAGAAAAACCCAACAAAGTTTGATGGTTAATAGAAAACCCAACAATGTTTGATGATTAATAAAAAACCCAACAAAGTTTGATGGTTAATAAAAAACCCAACAAAGTTTGATGGTTAATAAAAAAACCAACAAAGTCTGGTAGTCAATAGAAAACTAGATAAAGATTATCATCAATAAATTGTCGACTTCAGAATTACTCTTCAAATAATATTCAAACACACATATACTGAAGCTGAAATTTCTTTTCATACATCATTTTCTAGTTACTTTGTTTATATTTCAAAATTTTTTACAGCAGAATAAAAATATAAGTACAGATACCAAAACATTGCATGCTTTTTTCCACATTTTAAAAAAACATTACAAATACTTAAGATTTCACAAACAAAATAAAACTTAACTCTCATTACAATAATCATAGTTTTATATTTATTTCTAAAACAGAGTGAACTTTGTAAATTAAAATGTCAGAATTTAAAATTTAACATATTACAAATGCTTATAGAATATATCTCATGAACATGATACAAAGATCACTTTCATATGTACAGTTCTTTACATTTGTTTAGTGACCTCACTAATCGAGTAAACAAAATAAGTATTCAAATATCATACATCAAGAATTTGGTACTTTCCATCTCGGTGACACGGTAACAACATCAGTTGTTAATCTCTGCAACAATTAGACGTGAAGTGAAAGCAACAAGGATGGCAAAGAGAACAGTCATTATAGTTCCATAGTTCATGGCATAACCATAAACCTAGAGGGAATAAAGAGAACAGTCATTATAGTTCCATAGTTCATGGCATAACCATAAACCTAGAGGGAATAAAGAGAACAGTCATTATAGTTCCATAGTTCATGGCATAACCATAAACCTAAAAGGAATAAAGAGAAAAGTCATTATAATTCCATAGTTCATGGCATAACCATAAACCTAGAGGGAATAAAGAGAACAGTCATTGTAGTTCTGTAGTTCATGGCATAACCATACACCTAGAGGGAATAAAGAGTGCAGTCATTATAGTTCTGTAGTTCATGGCATAACCATAAGCCTAGAGGGAATAAAGAGTACATTCATTATAGTTCCGTAGTTCAAGGCATAACCATAAACCTAGAGGGAATGAAGAGTGCAGTCATTATAGTTCCATAGTTCAAGGCATAACCATAAACCTAGAGGGAATGAAGAGAACAGTCATTATAGTTCCGTAGTTCATGGCATAACCATAAACCTAGAGGGAATAAAGAGTGCAGTCATTATAGTTCTGTAGTTCATGGCATAACCATAAACCTAGAGGGAATGAAGAGAACAGTCATTATAGTTCTGTAGTTCATGGCATAACCATAAACCTAGAAGGAATAAAGTTTGCAGTCATTATAGTTCCATAGTTCATGGCATAACCATAAACCTAGAGGGTATAATGAGTACAGTCATTATAGTTCAGTAGTTCATGGCATAACAATAAACCTAGAGGGTATAAAGAGTGCAGTAATTATAGTTCCCTAGTTCATGGCATAACCATAAACCTAGAGGGAATAAAGAGAACAGTCATTATAGTTCTGTAGTTCATGGCATAACCATAAACCTAGAGGGTATAAAGAGAACAGTCATTATAGTTCTGTAGTTCATGACATAACCATAAACCTAGAGTGAATAAACAGAACAGTTATTATAGTTCTGTAGTTCATAGCATAACCATAAAGCTAGAGGGTATAAAGAGAACAGTCATTATAGTTCTGTAGTTCATGGCATAACCATAAACCTAGAAGGAATAAAAAGTGCAGTCATTATAGTTCCATAGTTCAAGGCATAACCATAAACCTAGAGGGAATGAAGAGAACAGTCATTATAGTTCTGTACTTCATGGCATAACCATAAACCTAGAGGGAATAAAGAGAACAGTAATTATAGTTCCGTAGTTCATGGCATAACCATAAACCTAGAAGGAATAAAGAGTGCAGTCATTATAATTCCATAGTTCATGGCATAACCATAAACCTAGAGGGAATAAAGAGAACAGTAATTATAGTTCCGTAGTTCATGGCATAACCATAAACCTAGAAGGAATAAAGAGTGCAGTCATTATAATTCCG